TTTTTTCCATCCCCATCCTGGCCTGCCCCAGGCAGGGCCTGCATTAGCATTCTGTGAGCAGAACAGCCTCAGAGGCCCCAAGCGAGACTGGAGGCGGTGTCTGTGTTTTGCCATGGTCTGCTGGATGGGAGATCTGGGTAACTCAGTTCCGGGGGAGGAGGAAAAACAAGGGTAACCAGATAACCCCTGGGGGGATGACCTCCCGCCTGCCTGTGGGGCAGACAAGACTCTTGCCTCTAAGCTGGTCCAGGAACTGCTTTCTGCATTTGAAGGTGTCTAGCTGGCTGGTGATGGAGAGCCCAAGCCTCGGGGGTGGTTTTAGTCAGGGCTCAGTGGGCAGGATGGTCACTCATTCATTGCGCAAACATCCACTGGACACCTACTTTGTGCCAGGCAGTGGAGCTGAGCTTCTAATGGTGGAGAAGACAGGCAGTGGGCAAGATAAAAAGTGACATATATGGAAAGTCACGTGGTGATAAGATGGTGATAACTTTTAAGGAGAAGCATGATGAATGGAGTATATGAGAAGGGCTGGTTTGGGACTTTAGAAAGTCTCACAGAGAAGGGAACATTGTATCTAAGACTTCCTGTTTCTGGAACACACCAGGAACTTGCTGTCCTCAGGGCCTTTGCACAACCTGGAATGCTCTTCCTCCAGTTAGCCAAGGCTTCAACAGTCGGGTTTTTCCTGATCGCTTTCTTCTTTTTCTTTTTAATTGAGATATAACTGGCATATAACATTATATTAGCTTCAGGTGTACAGCATAATGATTTAATATTTGTATATCTTGTGAAATGATCACCACAATAGGTCTAGGTAGCATCTGTCACCATACATAGTTATGATTTTTTTTTCTTGTGATGGGAACTTTTAAGATCTACTCTTTGAAAACAGTATTTATTATTTCTGGGTATGGATTGGATATCCATTCTGGAATGCATGTAGAGGTGTGCTTAAGGACACATGTGAAAATCCATGTTTTTATGAGTGTTCCTTGTTCTGAATAGTGTTATTTTAGTGAGTGATGTGTAGACAGTTTTGAAATGCATGTAGAGAAGTGTCTAGCAACACATGTAAAAATGATTTCTAAGGGTATTACTTGAAAGAATAACAAAAAAATTTACTCTCTTAGCAACTTTCAAGTACACCTGATCATCTTCTTAAAAATAAGCATTTCCGTCTTAGCATTGCTTTATTTAACACCCCACTAGTCTGATGTGGTATGCTTTCGCTTTCATTCAATTAAAAATATTTTTCATTTTCGACTTCTTCTTTGACTCGTGGGTGTGCCTTAATTTTCAAATATTTTCAGAATTTCCAGTTATCATTCTGTGACTTCTAGTTTAATTTGATTCTGGTCTGAGAACATACTTTGTATGATTTCCATTCTGTGATCTTCCTTTTTATAACAAGGGATTTTTTTTTTTTTTTTTTTTGTGGTTCACCATTGTATCCCTAGTACCTAGCCCAGAACCTAACATATAGTAGGTGGTCAATACATATCTGTTGAATGGATGAATGGACCACTGAATCCCTTATCCTCATTGGACATATCAAGAAATCTTTGCTCAGAGATGTTGTTCTACTCCCCTGAGGTCACACAGCAAGAATGGGGCAGAGCCGGGATCAGATTGGGCCCATGGTCTTACCTTATACCCAGTTGATGGGGCTGAATTCCATTGCTAGCTCCTGAGTGCCTACTGTGTGCCAGAGGGATGGCCTTGGCCTTGTGGCCATCATTCCCACACAGTGAGACTATCCAATCATCACTGTAGTTGCCTTGCCCCAGGCCACCCACCTCAAAAGGCACCCTTGATAGGCAGAAATGCTATTGGTCTTCTTGGCTGGTGTACCCCACCCTTACTACTGTCTCTTCCCTCTCCCTCTTCCCTGACCCCTGTATCTACCTGGAGCCTGATGCTCCCCCTGTGTGTTC